CCGCTCACCGTTCCACTCCCCCGACGCGCCGGCCGCACACGCGTCAACCGTCGTATCGGCGCCGCCGGGCAGTTCCAGTATGTAGTCGCGGGCCTGCTGGCCCTCCGGAGCCGTCAGGCCCGTCGGCGCCGCGCCCGGCCCGAGCGTGCGTTCGGCGAACGCGGCGGTGTGCGACGAGCCATCGGTGAGGTCCCGCATGCGGGTCTGCGAGCCAAGGTAGAACACGCCGTCGGCCTCGGTCAGGCTGCCGTGGTCGACCTCGCCCGAGCCGGCGTTGCCGGCGTAGCTGGTCGCGGCGAAATCGCCGCCGGGGACCCGCGGCCCAGCGGGGTCGCTGGGGCAGAGGAAAGCCGGGACCGGCGTGGTCGCCGCTTGATAGTTGACGGCCCCGTCGAACACCACGCCGCCGCCGATGCCAAACGTGGTGGGCGCCTGCGTGAGGTCCATCGTGGCGAACAACGAACCGTCTTCCAGGTACGCCAGCAGGTGAGCGTGGGCAGAAAAGATCTCGGGGAGCGGCTCCCCACGGCCGGCGGGGAAGTATCCCCGCGCGCCGTGGAAGCCTTGCAGCGCGAGGCCGACCTGCTTGAGGTTGTTGGAGCAAGCAGCCCGCCGCGCAGCGCCGCGGGCCGCTTGGACCGCCGGCAGGAGCAGCGCTACGAGCGTCCCGATCACGGCGATCACGACGAGCAACTCGACCAGCGTGAACCCGCCGGGCGTTGTGCGTCCAGCAGCGGGCATGCGTCAGCCCCCGTACGACACGCGGTAGACCCGACCGTTGGCGTCGTCCGTGAAGAGCAGGCTGCCGTCCGCCTGGACGAGCACGCCCACCGGGCGGCCCCAAGTGATCGGCCCTTCCGGGTCGGTCAAGAAGCCACGCACAAAATCCTCGTAGTAGCCCTTGGGCGATCCGTCCTGGTTGAACGGGACAAACACCACCTTGTACCCGACGCCGGTGTCCCGGTTCCACGAGCCACGGTGCGCGACAAAGGCCCCGTTGCGGTACTTTTCTGGGAACTGTTCCTTGTCGTAGAACGCCAGCCCGAGGGCTGCGGAATGCGACTCGAACAACAGGTCAGGGGTGCGGGTCTTGGCGGCGAGGTCAGGCCGGTCACTCTTGCCGTCCTTGACGTGCCGCGGGTCAAGGTTTTCCGGCTTGAGGTACGCGTAGGGCCACCCGTAAAAACCGCCCTCAACCACCTCGGTCAGGTAGTCGGGCACGAGCATGTCGCCCAGGCCGTCGCGTTCGTTGATCGTGGAGAACAGCTTGCCGGTCTGCGGGTGGAAGTCGAGCCCAACCGGGTTGCGGAGGCCGGTGGCGTAGAGCTTCCGGTCGGAACCGTCGAGCTTCATCACGAGCACGCTGGCGCGGGGCGGCTCCTCGGCGTCGGCGTTCGTCTCGGAGCCAACGGAAACGAACAAGCGATCCCCCTCGGGCGAAGCGACCACGTTGCGGGTCCAGTGCTCGTTGTACCCCTGGCCCGGCAGATCGGTGATCTTCTTGGGGTTGCTCAACGGCAGCGAGTCGGCGTCGAACTCGTACCGCAGGACCGCGTCGGTGTTGCCCAGATACATGGCTCCGTCAGCAAACGCCAAACCGAACGGCATCTTGGCGCCGTGCGGCTTGTCGATCACCGTGATCTGCTCTTCGGCGACGCCGTCGTGGTCGGCGTCGCGGAGCAGCACGACCTTGTCACTCTTGGAGGCGGCGCACAGCACCTCGCCGTCCGGCGTAAGCGCCAGCCAACGCGCGTGCTTGAGGTCCGCGAACAGGTTGACTTCGAAACCAGCTGGCGCCTGCAGTCGCGGGGAATCGGGCACGGGCTTCACGTCCGGCCGCTTCGAGACGCTTTCCGAGGCGTAGGGCTCGGGCAGGTTGTCGGCGGACACGTGGATCGGCTCTGGCACGAACGGGTCGACATCGATTGCGCCCTCGCCACGCGCGGCAGGGCTCGACGACAGGCAAACGGCGGCGAACACTGGAAGACATAACCAGCGGGACATTGGCGGGGAGCTCCTGGGGGCGAATCGTGTGGATGAGCGAATCGACTGGATAGCCGCAACCTGGATCTCTGGCGGCCGCCAGCCCGGATTGCGCCGTCCCACTACTCTAACCAATGCGGTCCTCAGACCCCAGAACCCCTACGGAATATTCGCTCTGGGCCGGGGTAGATAAGGCCCAAACCCGACCAGCAAGCCTATCCCGCCACCGTCTGCGGTGGCCATCGGCTAACGCAGCAGATCGACCGAGAACGTGGCGTTGCTCGCGACAGGCAGCAACGGGCGGGCCGACCGGCCCGCCGCAGACCGCCCGCCGGGGAAGTACTCGAATCCGAGAAAGGCGTCGACCGTGCCGGTGTCCGCCGGCGTGATGAAATTGGCCTGCCCGGTCAGGCTAAGGTATTCGGTGAGCGGCACGTTAAAGTCAGAACCGAACACCACCATCGTGTCCCGACGTGGCCAGTCACCCAGCGCCGCATTGACCTCGGCGTGCCCGTCCGCCAGCCCAACCCAGCCCCGCACCGACCCGCCGGTGGGCCACGTGTGCCGCCAGTACAGGCTCGCCTGGTTGATTGGCCGCAGGTAAACGCTGGTCGCCCCGAACGATCCGGTGTCGCCGTGACCATGGAGCATCGCCATTACGCCCGCGCGGTCGCTGCAGCCGAGGTCGTACCCCAGGTCGCCGCGCCATTGGCCGAGGAAGAAGTCGTCGTAGTAGTCCTGCCACAGGAAATCGTAAACCACGCTCCAGTGCACGCCGGTGTCGGCGTGCTGAAACAGCCCGACAGTGGTGAACGACTGAAAGCGGCTGCTCGATCCCTGAACGCGCTCCACGACTTGGACCGCGTTGTCGGTCGCCACGACCGCCGTGCCGACCTGCCACCCCACGCTGGAGCTATCCGAGAGCAGACGCCCGTAGTTCAGGGCGACGCGGGCGCCAAAGTGGGCGTTGACGCCGAAGTCCTGCGGCTGCTTCGAGCCCTCTAGGCCAGCAAACAACGACCAGTCATCGCGGCAAGACGACCCGGCGCACTGATCCGAGAGGAAGGCGACCGGTGCGACGGAGGGGTCGGTGGCGTGCTGCGGATCGGGCAATCGCAGCAAGGCAGGCGTCAGCTCTTCCGCGCGTGCTGGAGCGCTGGCAAGCACAACCAGCAGAGCAATGGCCGCCCACAATCGATGTCGCATCCCTACCACTCCAGGCGTTCATGGAAGGCCTCGGTAATCGACCAGTCCTTTGGCCGACGCGCGCCAATAGTGGACACGCTTGCTCTGAATTGGAATCGAACGCCGGCCGCCCCGCTGTTGACGGGAAACCACCAGATGCCGATCAGTGACCCCTGGCAAGATTTGCAGGCGCCTGCGCTATGCTAATTCGATCATCAACCGGTCTAATGCCTGTATCTGGTGCTCCACGCGGCTCTCAACCTGGTTGCGTTCGAGCCAGCCTTTGAGCGAACTGACCGAGTCGCCGCAAACCTGCGTGCCGGCCTCAGAGTCCAAAATGCCGAGCACCTTTTCTTGAGGCATGCCGTCTCGGTAGGGCCGCGACGCGGTCATTGCCTCGTACATATCCGCGACGCACAGCATGCGGGCGCCAATCGGCAGCTCGCCCGCCGGGATGCCGCGGTGATACCCCCGCCCGTCCAGCTTTTCGTGGTGGGCGGCGGCCACGTGGGCCAGGTCCTGAAAACAGCCAGCCCGGACAAGGATGTCGTGGGTGTAGCGGGGGTGTTGCTGGAGCTGCGTGAACTCCTCGTCGGTCGGCTTGCCGGGCTTGTCCAGAACGGCGTTGGACACGCCCAGCTTCCCCAGGTCGTGCAGCAACGCCATCCGGCGGATCGCCCTCAGTTCGACTGCCGTGAAGCCGAGCTGCTCGCCCATGCCCACCGCGATCTTCGCCACCTCGTCAGAGTGACGGAACGTCCACGGGCTCTTGGCGTCGACGACCCGCGCGAAGCCTTCGGCCACGCGGTCCACGCCGTTCTCGCCGATCATCATCACCCGGTCCTCCGGCTCGTAGGCGCTGACCAGGGCGTCGGGGGATTCTGATGCGAGTTCCATCCACAGCCGGTCGCTTTCGGCGAGGCCGTTCAACGCGTCGACCAGCGCCGGCTCGAACCACGTCCCGCGACGCGATGCGGCCATCGACGTCGCGGCGTCGCGTCCCAGCTGAGACAGAAACACCTCGTAAGTCTGCGCCAGCCCGGCGATCCGCGCCAGCGGAGAGATCTCCAAGCCCTGTCGCCCCTGCGGGTGGCCCTGCCCGTCCCAGTGCTCATCGAGGTGCAGGATCGACAACGCGACCCCCTCGCTGAACCCCATGCTGCGGGCGATGTCGGCGCCGCGTTCGCAGCGTGTCTCCACTAGCTGCTGCGCGCCCTTGGGGCCCTGCAGCATCATCGCGGCGATCTTCAGCGCCCGCTGCACCGGGGATCCTCCGGGCGCCACTTGTTTGGTTAGGAACTTGAAGCTCTCTGACATCTTCGGCCAGTCGACCGACTTGAGGTCCCGCTTCACGGTACGGTCATCTGCGCCGAACAGGTAGCACATCTTCGACGCGTTACTGCTGCAGCCCAGGTCTTTGAGCAGCAGCGCGTAGAACAAGTCGGAACGCTCCGCCTCGCTGAGGCCGATCAGCTCCGCCAACCGCATGCCGATCAGGCAGGTCCGGGCCGCGTGCCCCGGCGGTTGGCCTTCGGTGATATCCAGCGAGTACGACAGCGCCGCCACCAACCCCGACATCCGGACCGAGCGCTTCGCGGCCGGCGAGAACCCGACCGCGATCGGAGACACAAACTCGGTGTTGATTTCGGTAGCTGGCTGTGGCATGGCTGTGCGTGGTTTCGGGGCGGCGATCCGCGGCGGTTTGGGCGTAGGCTGCCCAGCGCCAGTGAAGCGTAGCCCACCATAAAAAGCCAGTTTGCAACTATTAAACGAAACGACGCCCGGCCGCACGCCTCGCCTTGTTGGATGGCCTCAGCCCGGGCCGAATCGGCTCAACCGGCCCCCCACCTTTGGGGGTCCTGCCCGTAGTAGCTCCGCAGGGCGTTGTAGAGGGCTGGCTCACGCTCGACCAGCCGATGCGGCGCCTGGAAGAACACCTCGCTGGACACCGCAAAGAACTCGCTGCGGTCGGTAGCCCCGTAGCAGTCCATCACGGGGCGGTCCCCCCGGCGGCAGGCCCGCCGCAGCCTGCCCAGGGCGGACTCTAGGGTCGCCACCCACGCTTCGGCGTCGGAGGGCTTGTCGATCGGCGGCACGCCGTCGGCGTTGCGGCCGTTGAGCATGTCGAGCTGATGGGCGAACTCGTGCGCCACCAGGCTGCGTCCCATGTTGCGAGACTCGCCCGCCCGCTGAACGTCACTCCACGACAGCACCACCGGGCCCCGGTACCAGGCCTCGCCGAGTCTCGCCGACTCGTGCTCGACAATCACGCCCCCGCCCGGCGAGCGGGTCTCGGGGGCGCGGTACGCCTCAGGGTAGACCAGCACCGACAGCACGTGATCGAAGTACTGTTCCTTGAGCCCCAGCGTGACCAGCGAAACCTGGGCCGCGACCGCGAGTCGGATCTCGTCGGTCATCTCCAGCCCGCCGCACCCCTCCCAGTTCTTCTCGTGGAAGACCACCACGGCCGTGTCGCGCAGCCGTTGCTGCTCCTGTTGGCTCAGGTGCTCGTACTGCCACAGCGCCGCCGGCAACTGCTGCTCCAGCTCGTCGGCGAAGCCAGCCTGGATCAAGCGTCGACGAGAGCGTTTCTTGAGCCAGGTAAACAACATTCGGCCGGGGCGCCAACGGGGTGGGGAGCTTCAGTGAGACTCGACTACTCATTGCGGAGATCAACAAACCGCCTGGCCTTGCCGTCGCTCCGCGGCAGCGACATCGACGCCGCGAGCCGGACCTCGATCGTGAGACCGAGCCGCAGGTTCAGTTCTTTGGCGATGCGTCGCGGGTCCTGCAGGTGGTCCTCCACCTCAACGACCAGCTCGTCCATCTCGCCGTGCCGGCGGGCGGTCATTCGGTACTCCACCACCTCCGGGAAGCCGCGCAGGATCTGGTCGATCGCCGTCGGGAACACGTTCACGCCGCGGATGATCATCATGTCATCGGCCCGCGAGATCACGCCCCCCTCGAGGAACACGAAGCGGTTGTCGCCGTCCGCGGTCCACGACGGCCGCACGAGGTCGCCCGTGCGGTAGCGGATCACCGGGGACCCGGCGCGTCCCAGCGTGGTCAGCACCAGGTGCGAGAGCTCGCCCTCTCCGGCCGGCTCGCCCGTTTCGACCGACACGAACTCCGCCAAGAACTGGCTCTCGTTGATGTAGACCCCCCTGCCCTCTCGCTCGCGTCCGGCGTGCTCGCCGTAGCCCCACGGGCCGACCTCGGTTGCGCCGGTGTGGTCCAGCACCCGCGCGCCCCACGCCCGCTCAATCCGCTCCCGCACCGCGGGGACGCTGCCGCCGGGCTCGCCGGCCACAATAATCTTCTCCACCGGCAGCTCCGTGAGCCGCGTCTGCTGCTCCGCGGCGACCTCCGCCAGCCGCATCGCGTAGTTCGGTGTGCAGAGCAGCACGTTTGCCTCGGTTCGACGGATCAGGTCCAGCCGCCCCTGGCTCCCCATCCCGCCCCCCGGGATCGTCAGCACGCCGCGGGCCGCGAGCGCGTCGAACGCGCTCCAGAACCCCACGAACGGGCCAAACGAAAACGCCAGCAGCGCCCTGTCGTCCGGCGTGACGCCGGCCGCGTCCAGCACGTACTGCCAGCCCTCGATCCACCACCGCCAATCCTCCGCCGTGTCGCGCACCGCGAGCGGCCGGCCGCGGGAGCCGGACGTCTGGTGGAACCGCACGTAGCGGCTCAGCGGGTAGGTGCGGTTGGCGGCCTCGGCGCCGTGCTCGCCGGACAGCAGCTCGTCCTTGTGCGTGAACGGCAGTCGGCGGACGTCCTGCAGCGAGCGGACCTCGTCCGGCGCGTCGGCCAGCCTGTCCGCGTAGTACCCTCCCGCCGAACGGAGCTCGGCCAGCAGGGCGTTTAGTTTTTCGAGCTGCCGTGCAGCCAGCGCGTCACGGTCCAGGCGTTCCCAACCGCGGCGATCGTCGTAGGAAGAAAGCGGCATCCCAGTAGCATACCCCGGATGGCTACCGTGCCGGTAGGACAGCCGTCGCCGGCGCGCCGATGCAAACCAACGACTTCTGTGTGCGAACATACATCCGGTTGCCGACAACCGCGGGCGTCGCTTCGGCGCCCTCGCCGAGTTCGTTCTTCGCGAGCACGCGGCAGCCGTCGCGGCTCACTTCCAACGCCACCGCCTGACCGTCCATCGAGACGTTCCACACCACGCCGCCGACGTTCACGGGCGAGGAAAAATAGTTGCCGCCGATCCGCTCGAGCCACAGCTGCTGGCCGGTCGCCAGATCAACGGCGGCCACCGTGCCGCGGTCGTGCCACATGACAAGCAGGCCGTCCACGGCGAGCGGGGTCGACACGTACGGCACGGCCTTGGTGATCTTGACCGCCACCTCCGGCTCGGGGGACGCCGCGGTAGGCGGGCGGACGCCCACCAGCAGCTTGCCGCCCCCGCCGCTGCCGCTGGCCTCGAGCACCATGCCGCCGGCAAAGATCGGCGACGCAACACACCGCTGCGGGAACACCCCTGCGGCCGTCCACACCACGTCGCCCGACGCCAGGTCCAGCGCGTCCATGCCGATCTCGCTGCTCCCGACCACCAGCGCCCGGCCGCCGGCGGCGGTCGGGATCACCACGGGGGTGTCGTACGAGGCGACGCCCGGCGTCAGCTCACGGCGCCAACGCTGCTGGCCGTCGCCGGCGTTGACGGCCAACACAAACGCACCCGACTGCTGGTTGCTCGCCAGGTACACCACGCCGTCTTCGATGATCGGCGACCGGCAGTAGCCGTGCCGGCTGTCGTAGGCGCCCAGCTTCTTGCTCCACAGCTCTTGACCGTCAAGCGAGTAGCCCGCCAGGTAAAACGACTTGGCGTCCGCCCAGCTCATCGCGACCACGCCGCCGCCCACCGCCGGTGTGCCGGACGCGTAGCTGTTCATGGCGTGCAGGTGCGTCGGCTCGCCGGGCTGCTCCGCCTGCCACAGCCGGCGTCCGGTGAACGCGTCCCAGCACTCTAGGCGGATGTTCGCCGAGTCCGGCTCGCCCGCCACGACAAACAGCCGGTCCCCCTCGAGGACCGGTGAGCCGTGCCCCACCCCGCCGAGGTCGACCCGCCACAGCGTGTTCTCGGGCGTCCAATTCAGCGGGATGCTGGCGCCGGGCGCCGCGCCAGAGCCGTTCGGGCCGCGGAAGCGGGACCAACCCTCCTCGGCCGGGGCCAGCCCGCCGCCAGACAACAGCACCAACGCCGAGACGATCCACCACCAGTATCTGCTCTGCACGATGTGCCCCCGGTTTGACTTCCTATGCAAGACTTAACCGTTTTCGACCGGGCGAACAGCCGCGTCAAGGTTCGCCGCCGGGCAACGCTTACCGTTCTGCCCAGAACCAACGGTCAGAGCGCTCGCACGCCCCTCCGCAGCGGCATTTGCAGCACGAGTCCGGCCCAATTGATGCGTCCCGCAACCGAGGCGTTTTGTCGTTTTGTCACACTCTGGCGAACACGATTGGTCGCGACAAAACCCAACTTGCCCGCCCCGGCCACCTTCGCGTAAGCCTTACGCCCACAACAGCTTGCAGCCTGCCGCTCAAGACGCGAGCAATAGTTTTGTCGCACTGCTCACGCCAACCGCGACAAAACCCCACCCTCTTGAGCCTTGCGTGGCCAAGCACCCCAGGCCGATCCTCACCAGACGCAACGCTTCGTCCCCCTGATTGGAACGCACTGGATGGCTACTTTCTATCGAAATATGGGGAGAACTTCGTCGCCCTGCAGCTCGATGGCCCCTAACGGAATCGGCCGGGAGAGCGGCGCCTAGAATGATGCGCACAGACAGATAGGAGAGTGCTCGCCATGGGCGGCTATTGTCAGACCGACCCATTTACTCAGCTGGGATCTCAATCTCACGCCCGGCCGCGAGCAGGTTGGGGAACATCTTCCGCAGCGTCGCCTGCCCGACTGGCCCGCCACGCCGGTAGGCGGCGTCCACCTGGCGGACCAACACTTCGGCTTCGTAGCCTTCTTCCTCCCAGTTCTGCAGAAGCTCATTTAGGTAGTACCGCCGCACACAGGAAAAGGTTAGGTGATCTTCAATTTCCAGCCACGCCGGGAGCATCTTTTTGCGGGCGGCAGAGAATCTCCACTTGCCCCTGTGCGAGGACGACATTAACAGACGGTCGCAGTCGATCTGAATGTACGGAGACTGCCCCGGCCGTTGCCAGACCTTGATCAAGTCGTCCGCTAACCGGTCGCCCTCCTGCCGCCACAGGTGGGAGATGGCCCACTTGGTGGTGAGTTCGTTGTCGTCGAGCAGGGCGGCACGGCAGGCGGGCCGTGGGTCTTCGCCGTTCCGGCGCCTGTCGGCAACGCTGCCGAGCAAACGCCCTAGTCCGACGACCTCGTCAAACTCTGCTCGATCTCCGAACGGAATCGGCTCTCGCACCGCCGCTTCGTAGATCGGCAGGTAGGCGCCTCCGAACATCGCGTTGACGCAACACAGTTCCCCCTCCAGTTCGGCGACCAACCACACGCCCCTTGCCCGTTCCGCCGGCACGCCCGCGCTCCTTCCCGTCAAAAAACGTGGGAATTCTTCCGACGCCCGCGTCCGCACCTCCCGTCCCGCAAACGCCGCATGCCCACAAAACACTTCGTCGATCTTGTAGACCAAATCAACCAGCGCTGAGTCACGGCCCGTGACTTTCGACCGCACTCCCGTCCGCTTTACCTCCGACACGAGGGCAAGGCTCGGCCGATTTACCTCCTGCAGGTAGCCCCGGTGCTCTACCTGCAGGCTAACGCCCGGAGCGAGTTTAACTTCTCCACTGCACGCGGAATCCACCGCGCTGCAGGCGGTGAAGAGCACAACGAGCGCTGCTAAGCACGCGCTGCTTCTGTTCACATCCATTGCGCTGATGGCTCTCGACGAATGGGCTGCGTGCTTGTAACGACGAGCAGAACTCAATGTCGCGGATCGCAAGCGGCGCCGTCAACGATATTCTCACGTTGAGGGACTGCGGTTCCACGGCGCCGTATCCTGATCCTTACTTGGTGGCTGGTAGCCAGGAACGTGCTGGCAGGTTTTCGGTAGCAAACGGCCACTCGGCGCGGTCCAATGAGGCATTGCTCGAGGGTATGTGTTGGCCCCCAGCGGAGCCGCTCGCGATTGTGGAGGTGAAGGGTGCCGGAGGCAGGTCTGCTGGGTCACGGACTACCTAAGTCCCAGCGTGATGCGTCGGGGTTTTGTCCACGTTCAGTGCCCCCAGCGGACAAAACCCACGGCGTTTTGTCCGCTGGTAGGATCGCCAGGCGCTGCTATAGCAGATGAAAAGGAAAACCGGCGGGGACAAAACCGCACGAGTAAAGTCGCTAAGAATCGATGCGCCAGAACGGGACAAAACGGCGAAGCGAGGCGGGCGTGGTTCGCGTCGTTGACGCCGACGCTCAGCGTTCGATGTGGTACTGCTCGATCTTGCGGTACAGCGTTGCGCGGCCGATGCCGAGCAGCTTGGCCGCTTCGGGGACGTTGTCGTTGGTGCGCTTGAGGGCCTCGATAATCAGCTTCTTTTCCCACTGGTCGATCTGCAGCGTGTCCAGCTCCTCGCGGCCGGAGTCGCGGAGGGCCAGGTCGCCGGGCAGGATCTCTTCCCCCTCGGCCATCACCACGGCGCTGTCGATCACGTTGCGGAGCTGCCGCACGTTGCCGGGCCAGCGGTACTCCAGCAGCTTACGGACCGCCTTGTTGCTGAGCCGCAGGCCGGGGCGGCCGTGCTGCTTGCGGAAGTGGTCCAGGAAGAACTCCACCAGGCGGCCGATGTCGTCGTCCCGCTCGCGGAGCGGCGGCAGGTACAGCTCGAACACGCTCAGCCGGTAGTACAGGTCTTCGCGGAACTTGCCTTTGCGGACGTACTCCTGCAGGTCCTGGTTGGTGGCCGCCACGACCCGCACGTCGACCGAGATCGGCTCGGTGGCGCCGACCGGCAGGAAGGGGTGCCCCTCCATGACGCGGAGCAGCTTGGCCTGCCCCTCGAGGGTCAGCTCGCCCACCTCGTCCAGGAACAGCGTGCCGAGGTCGGCCTGCTGGAAGTAGCCCGTGTGGTCGCGGTCGGCGCCGGTGAACGAGCCGGCCTTGTGGCCGAACAACTGGCTCTCCATCAGGTCGGCCGGGATCGCCGCGCAGTTGACCGACACCATCGCCCGGTCCGCCCGCGGGCTGGCGCGGTGGATCGCGCGGGCGACCAGCTCCTTGCCGGCGCCGCTCTCGCCGCGGACCAGCACGCAGCCGGCGGCGCGGGCGACGCGGCTGATCTTGGACTTGAGCGCCATCATGGGCTCGCTCTCGCCGATCAGCTCGTCGTAGCCGGGAGAGGTGCTGACCAGCCGCTCGAAGTTTGAGCGCATGGAGTTGTACTGAATCGCCCTCGCGAGCGCAGTCACGACAATATTGGCGACCGAGATGATGAAGTCGAAGTCGGACTGCCGAAAGCGGCCCGCCTCGAGGTAGACGTGGATGGCGCCGAGGGTGTCGCGGTCGCCGTCGGCCGTGCGTTTAACGAGCGGCGCGCAGATGGCGTCGGCAAAGTGTTCGAGCTGCTGACGCTCGTCGGGGCCGCCCTGGTTGGCGACCCACACCGCGTGCCCCTGCTTCGAGACCAGCTCTGTCAGCGTGGGGCTGAGCGACACGCGGCTCGCGGCGTCGGTCGGCAAGACCATCTTGGGACGCAGCTCGCCCTGCTCGTTGAGCCACAGGAAGCCGACCACCGAAGCGCCGGTGCGGGTCTGCAGCAGGTCGAGCGCCGTGTGCACGACCTGGTCGGTGTCGCCGCTGCCGAGCAGCCGGATGCAGAGCTGGTACAGCAGCATCAGCTCCTTGACCTGCTCGGCGTTGGGCAAACCGGTCAGCGACGCCTCGTTGAGCGAGGTCTCGGTGACCTCCATGTTCTGGACGATGGTCTGCGTGAGCAGCGCGGCGTCGTCCTCGGCGGTGAGCGGCTCTTCGCTCTGGTGGAACTCGAGCTCCGTCGTGCCGATCTTCACGGTGTGCCCGTCGGCGAGGGTCGCCTCGGTAACCTTCTGTCCGTTGACGAAGGTGCCGTTGCGGCTCTCGGCGTCGGAGATGACCCACGCCTCGTGGTCGAACCGCACCTGGGCGTGGACGCGCGAGCAGATGCGGTCCTGAAGCGTAACCTGGCAGTCGCCGCCGCGACCCACCAGGTTCTCGGCGCTCGCGTCCAGGGGCAGGTTCTCACCTGCCTGCTCGCCATTGAGAACCGTGAAATAGGCGTACAACGCTGATCCCGACCGATAGAGTAACGTGGCCCCGTCTCAATATGATACACGGCGCCCCGGCGATCGGGAATCGATGTTCAGCTTTACGCGACCGTCGCGGAGCGTCGGCGTCCTACAACCGGCCCAGCCCCCACGACCCCAGCTCCCCCGACCCAAGCGGCCTCGGCTCAGATCTGGTAGCCGACCTCTGGCTTGAGGGCGTCGGCGTCCTCGTTCTTGATGCGGAGGCTGGGGGCCTCCATCGTGACCGTGGTGTGCGGCGCGACGCTCTTGGTCAGCCACACGCTGGAGCCGATCACCGACCCCTCGCCGATGACGGTGCGGCCGCCCAGGATCGTGGCGTTGGCGTACACCACCACGTGGTCCTCGATCGTCGGGTGGCGTTTCTGGTCGCGGACCAGCTGGCCGTTCTCGTCGGTCGGGAAGCTCACCGCGCCCAGCGTGACGCCCTGGTAGATCTTCACGTGGTCGCCGATCTGACAGGTCTCGCCAATCACGACTCCCGTGCCGTGGTCGATGAAGAAGTGCTCGCCGATCGTGGCGCCGGGGTGGATGTCGATTCCGGTCCGGGCGTGCGACCACTCTGCCATCATGCGGGGGATGAACGGGATGTCGAGCTTGTACAGCTCGTGGGCCAAGCGGTGCACGGTGACCGCCTCGAGGCCCGGGTAGCAGAAGATCACCTCGGCGGGGCACTTGCAGGCCGGGTCGCCGTCGTAGGCGGCCTGCACGTCGGTGGCCAGCTGGGCGCGGACCTGCGGCAGGCGGTCGAGGAACTCCAGCACCTTGGCCTGGCCGAGGGCCTCGAAGTCGGTGTCGTCTTCGCAGTGGCCGCCGGCCTCGTGCAGCAGCGCGCGGCCCACCTGCTTGGTGAGGGCGTCGTGCAGCCGGTCGACCAGGTCGCCGACGTAGTACTCGATGTTGCCGTGGTGCAGCCCCTCGCGGCGGCGGTAGCCTGGGAACAGGATCTCTTTGAGGTCCTGGATGGCGTCGATCACGGCCTCGTACTTCGGCAGCGGGCAGTGATCCAGGTGGTTGATGATCGCGTGCTGGTTGTAGGTCTCGACCAGCCGCTCGGTCAGGCGGGGGAGACGCTCTTTGAGTCGAAAATCGGTCGCCATAGGTCGAACGCTCTGCTGTGGGCCGCCGCTAGCGCGCGGCAGGCGGGAATTGGACGAAGCGAGAAGCCGGCCGTCGGGGCGCGGCGGACGCAGAAGGCCCAGCTCAAGCCACGAGGCTTAAGCCGGGATCGTACACAGACAGCTGTGGGGCGGGACGGCGTTCATCGAGCCAATTCTAGGCGTTAAGATCGGTAGAATCCAACCTCTAGGTAGCCTTTCGGCTGTTCGGGCCTACGAAGTTGAGCCATTCCGCCGCCGGCGGGTTCGCCCGCTAGCTGCCGCCCCCAGTGACGGGCCGCGGGAGCGTTCGCTGCATTACGCTCAGGTCGTCGCGGATTGCGAACCCCATCCGCCGCCAGAAGTCGGCCGCCGGCTGGTTGTCGGAGAAGACCCGCACGTTGCACCGCTGCAGGCCCTGCCCCGCCAGCGAGTCGAGGCACCGCTCAACCATCCTCCGCCCCAGCCCCGCGCCGCGTGCAGGCTCTGCTACCGCCAGGTGCGACAGGTAGCCGCGTCGGCCGTCGTGACCACACAGGACCGCGGCGGCGATACGCTGGCGGTCGTCGGTAGCGACTAGGCTGAGGCCCGGGTTGCGTGCTAGGTACCGCTGGGTGGGCCCCGGCTCGTCCGACTCGTCCAGCCCGACGCCCGGGGTCGCCCTCCACAGGGCGTACACGGACTGGTAGTCGGCGATGGTCATCGGCCGCACGCGGAAGACTGGGGGCGGGACCGCCATGCGACCTAATTCAGGTTGGGGTCCGCCGGCAGGTGGGCCCGCTGCTTGCCGGGCAGCATGATCTCCAGCCCGATGCGGCTGGTGACGCTCCGCCACAACTCGTCGGCGTCGGCAAAGACGTCGTCGCGGCGTGCCGGGGTGGTGAGCCAGCCGCCCATCTGCAACTCGTCTTCCAGCTGACCTCCGCCCCAACCGGAGTTGCCGCTGTACAGGCGGAACTCGTGCTTGTCCTGGCGCACCAGCTGATCGATCGACTCCCGCTGCAGCGACATGAACAGTCGCGGCAGCACCTGCTTCTCGCCCAGTTCGGGCGAAGTGTGCAGAGCGATCAGCGGCCCCTGCACCGGCCCACCGATGTTCATCAGCTGGTCACAGTCGCACGGTTCGGCGTCGATGTGCTCCCACACCTCGGAAACGGAGCTGTCCCCCAACCGGTTCAGCACCACGCCCAGGGCGCCCTGCTCGCCGTGTTCGAGCAGCAGCACGACGGTCCGCAGGAAATTCGGGTCCTGCAGGTCGCGGGCGGCGGTGAGTAGGTGTCCGGAGAGCGACATGGGATGCGGCAACGCGGGGGAGTGGCGGGCGGGCTACTCCGGTATTGTCGCGTCTGCCCGGTCGGCCGGCAAGTCACGGCCCCGGGCGTCTGCTGCTCAGTTCGCGCGGCTAAGGCGGGCGGAGGGCTGCGGTGGCTGCTCTGCCAGGTCGACACAAATCAACTCGTCCGGGCCGCGGAGGTACAGCCGCTCTCCCACCAGCGCCGGG